TTAGAGAAGTCCCAAACAGGACTGAGCTCCAGTGTAGCTCAAGCCCCTGGGGCCCAGTTAAGGTCAGGCTGACCTTCCCTGGGCGAGGGCCGACCCTCTGCATCTCCAGAGCAGAGTGCTGTTGAGCCAGCTGCCCAACTCCACCTTGACTTCGGCCAGACCCACTTGAAACCTGTATCCGCTGACGCCTCTGGAGAACTCTTCTCTAAATAAAGCTAGACTCGTGTTTGGGTCTATCTCTACTCTTGCATCACCTGTGTCGAGACAGACTTCAAGATAGGACCGGTCGGGAATGCGGGATACGTGACTGACGGGGCCAGTCAGGAAGCGTGGACGAGGGCAGCCAGCTGGTCTGAAAGGAGAAGGAAGAAGTGCGGCGACCGAATCCGTGAAGACATGCCTGCGAACGCTGCAGCCTGGCGGAGCCCTGTGGGTGGGAGGATGGATTCCCCCCGCCCCTTCGCCCTCCCCCTTACCCCCCTCCCCGCTGTGTTGGCCAGCAGCTGCTGCTCATCCTGTGATACTTCTAGAACAGGGGCCCCCAGGCAGCATGGAGACTCAGGGCCAGAGGTGGCAAACGCAAAGCCCGCAAGAACCCGGCCAGCAGCCACACGTGCACTGGCCGGTGTCACATGGACTTGTTGCCAGGATGTTACCACGGGGAACTGAGCAGGAGCCCAGCTTTTCTGACTCTTCACGGCGGGGGGCAGTTTCAGGCCCTCGGGCGATAAATGAGGCATCACCCGCCCACGACCACTCGTCAGTATTCATACTGTAGTTCTTCCGCTCAAGAAGGATGTTACAGATGCTCACACAGCCGCTGGCAGAAGGAAGGTTCCTCTCCTGTGCTTTGGAGATGGATGGCAGGAGGAGGTCAGCCTGTCCTACTCTGCCCCGCCCGTGGCCGCGTGTGGCCAGCAGGTCTGGCTGCTCTGGCTGGCAGCAGCCCCCTGCCTGAAATGTGCCGGCTGGGTGGAGGCCGGTGTTGCCTGGGCTCCTGGCGCTCCTCCACCTCGAGATCCTCACCGTTGAGGGTAGGGCCCACTGCCCCTGGGCACAGCAAATGAATGCAGTGGGGGTATGTGCTGAGGACCCTAAGAATGATACCCGCATGCTACACAGCAGGCATTTGGGAGGGATTGGCACGGCTATCCAGGCCCAGCTGGACACCTGGGGATCTGGGGAACACCTGTGGAGTGTGTGGGGACCTGTGGGACAGTGACCCCGGTAGGGCCCCTCACGGAGCCTCTCCCTTCCCAGGGCTTTGGAAGGAAGAGGCAGTAGTTCTCAACAGTGGGGTTAGATCAGCCAATCAGTGGGACACACAGGGGCAGCCCAGCTTTGGGGCAGGAATGAAGGGACCATTGCTGGTGACAGCCGTGCCTCTGGTCTGCCCTGAGGGAACGTCCGACCCCCAGCCTGGCTGCCCTGTGGCTTTCAGTAGACAAGAAAGAAGAGACTGGCAAGGCCTGGGTTCTCAGGGGAAGCCTTTCGGCACTGCCCAGCCCCGCTCCGCCGCCACAGCTGGGAGGCAGCAGGCAGGACAGTGGCTCTCGTCTCCTCTGCGGTCTTTGGGAGGAAAGGGGGAGGCACACACAGCAAAGCCAGCCGGGCCGAGGCTCCCAGAGCCAGCTGTCCAGAGGCGGGCACGGGAACACGCGTGGCATCCCAGCTTCCTCCCCACGGCAAGATGAAGAGTTCATTTACCATGGCCAGCATTTGGATCTTCCTTTTCCCAGCATCACAATAAATCAGGCTTATTTAGCTTCCCAGAAAACTATGAAGTCATCTCTTCACATGCCTCCAAATTAGCTGCTTCCAATTAGGAGTGGAGGATTCGCTTGTGACCGTGCCCACCGCCAGCCCTGGGGTCCTGCCACCATCCGCCCAGAGCCCGGGGTGTCCCTGAAGCCACGTTTGTCTGAATGGGCAGGACAGAGCCTTCCGAAGGCCTGATCAGCTCTCATCTTCCAGTGACACCCCGGTGACCCTCAGCCCCTGGTATTGTCAAAATTCTATCTGAAATAGCTGATAGAAAAAAAGAAAGGTGAACCCACAGAAGAACTTAGATGAGGTTTGTTCTGTTGAAAAAACCTGAGGAAGGGAACGCCATAATTTCACAGTGAGGCTTATTTATTGTTGTGTCACCTGCAGTGGCCGTCTCCTCCCATCATTCACGCCACACAGTCAAGCCTCTGTTGCTGTGCTTCATTTGTTGGCCACAGTACTGCATTTGGTTTATACAGACATCCTGGTTCCAAGGAGCCCGCCATGGAGGAAAACCCAGGCGTGGCAGGATGCAGAGTTGGGTGCTGTATATAGCATATATAATATATACATATATATGTATACATTACATATATATATTATATATTTGCAGTATCGCATAATGCTGTACTGCTTATATGTCCTCATAATGCCACCCAACTTCTAGTAAAGACTTACTCCTTTCAACAGATCTCACATTTTTACCTTGATCAACTTACCCAAGCAAAGAATGTATACTCTAACTTGAGAGTGCCACCATAACATTTTCCTTGTTCTTTTTGGGGCGAGGGAGGGCATTTGCTTTTGAGGGGAGGGGGAACATTTGCTTTGGGGGAGGCAGGTTTTTTTTTTGAACTAAGGACAAGGAAACACTCCAGAGATCACACAACTTCAGCCTACGTGACAATAACAGGCCTGAGAGCTATTCCATCAATGGAGCTATATGATACGCATGGGCATTTGCATATTTTTATTCTAAATTTCTATCCATATATTGATGACTGCATTTGATCAAAACCATGTGATAAATCTGTGAATCACAAGGGCTTAACTAAATTGGCTTAGATTCCCCCCAAAAAAATCACAGAATGCTACATTTTTCCATGATGTTTTCAATGACAACTTGTAGAGATGGTCTCTCGAAGGTTCGTTTATGAATTGTTTTCAAACCTCCCAACAACTGTGTAATGGGCCCCAAGCAGGCCTTAGTCTGCTGTTTGTGAAGCTTGGCTACTGTCAGTAAATAAAACCATATCATCATCATTAATTGGAACACAAGCTTAATTGCATGGCATGAGAATGCATAGGTGATTTCTGGGGTGTGGAAATGCAGTCTGTGGGGAAGAGGCTGGCCAGCTCCAGAGGACAATCACAGGCATCTCTGCTCGATTCTTCCCGGACTTGTAACTTCGCTCCAAATCCAGTTAGACTAGCCAGCAGTAGACAAACATAACTTTCTCAGTTGTGTACAGCAGAGGACTTCCTGTTGTGCACAAATGGGAATTCGAAAGCAGTTTGGGTGGACAGAGCCTGGGGATGTGACTTGGGAAGGAGAGAGCCGGAGGTCCAGGCCCTGGCCCCGCTTGGCTTGGAGGTGGGCCTTTACTTTCTTCACTCAGGGAAGTGTGTACGTGGTAGACCGTTTGTGCTGGGAATGGCGATTAAACCAGAAGGTGTCCTCATTGGTCATTGAAGGAAGACTGGGTTAATTGCAACTTCAATAACTATTGGCTTCAGATTCTGGATGGTTTTCCGCCAGCTCTGATAGGATGGCATTAAACCAGACTAGACCTGTCACCCTGGCTGCTGGAAACATTGAGAGGATCTGTCGGAAGCTAGCCTGGCCAAAAAGTTAGTGCGATCCTCATCTTAACCAACAGAAATCTGGACATGAGCCAGGCACGGGTGGCTCACACCTGTAATGGTAGCTACTCCAGAGGCTGAAATAAAGAAAACCGCAGGTCAGAGCCAAGCCACATAGAATGAATGCATTGTCCAGGAGACGTTAACCAGCAAAATGCCATATTGGAAGCGTGGCTCAAGTGGAAGAGTGCCACAGAGAACAAGCAAGTACTAGGCTCTGAGTTCAAGCCTTGGTACTGGCAAAAAGAACATTAAACAGTGCCTATAGTACACTGTCGTCCCAGCCTATGAGAATTAATAGACAGCTTATAGTCCAGGTCAGCTTCGGACATGAATGTGAGACCTGTTTGAGCAATAACAAAAATATAAAGGGCTGGTGTGTGGCCCAAGTAGGAGAGTGCCAACCTAGCAAGCACAAGACCCTGAAGTCAAACTCCAGTACTGCCTCCTCCTCCCCCCCAAAAAATGGTTCAGTAAATTACAGTTCATCCATTAAATATTAAACATGGAATTTTTGTTTTAATAAGCTAAAATTAAAATCCTAGCATGAATGTCTCATGCACGTAATCCTAGCTACTCAGGAGGCTGAGATCTGAGGAGTGCAGTTCACAGCCAGCCCACCAGGAAAGTTTGTGAGACTGTTGTCTCCCATTAAGCACCAAAAAGCCAGAAGTGGCGCTGCAGCTCAAGTGGTAGAGCATTAGCCTTGAGCCCTGAGCCAAAAGCTCAGGGACAGCACCCAGGCCCTGAGTTCAAGCCCCAGGACCAGCACAAAAATACATTACTTTTAGATAAGAAGTTTAGGTTAACTTAGCTGTCCCTCAGCTCTTCAGCTCAAGGTTAGCGTTCTACCGCTTGAGCTACAGCTCCACTTTCAGTTTTCTGGTGTTTAATTAGAGATGAGTCTCATAGACTTTACTGTCTGGGCTGGCTTTGAACAGCAAACCTCCGATCTCAGCCTCCTGAGTAGGATTACAGGTGTGAGCCACCGGCGACCAGCGTAGGTTACCTTTTTTGAAATAGTATTCCTCTGGTGTTTCCTGTGTACAAGTGACTTAATTATGTGAAAGGGGTGACAGCCCATCATTAGCTCGTCGGGACTTTGTCTCCTGTTTATTGAAGTAGTTTGGCATCCACTAGTATCTGAAAGTTCAGTTCTACAAACCAGCCACAAGAGGAAAGGTGTTGAACATTGTGTGTATTATATTGTATATGTAAGAGAGGAAGACAGCAATCAATGGTCTAAAAAGAGCAGTCGTTTCACTTTTCAGATACCAAAGATACAAAGAATGGTGGGCATGTTTGGTTACCTTGTTGAGTACTTCCTCCTCTGTACTGTGCCCTCATCCTGGACTCCTCTTTCTTTGTAGGGCATGTTGCTGAAGCGAAGTGGAAAATCACTGAACAAAGAGTGGAAGAAGAAGTACGTCACCCTGTGCGACAATGGCGTGCTGACCTATCACCCCAGTTTACACGTGAGTGTGGCCCCGCCAGGCAGGCCCAGCACATCCCTGGGGAGGGGAGGGGGACTCAAACCTCTGTTAGAAGTTGAAGTCAGTTCTGACAGAGCAGAGCTGAGGCTCAAGTGGTAGAACACTAGCCTTGAGCAAAAATAGCTGGGGGACCATGCCTAGGCCCTGAGTTCAAGCCCCAGGTAAAGCTCACACATACAATAATAATAATAATAATAAGTAGGGTCTGGTCTCTGCTCATTCATGAGATAATACTGCCCCTTAACACTCAGTTAGACCATATGTCTGTGTCTGTCTGTCTGTCTGTCTCTTTTTTCCCTTGTCTGTTGATCCGTAGCTAGCTGTAACTCCACAATATAAGACATAGGAGGAATAAAATCCTTTTTTAAATTTGATGACTAAGTTATGCAAAGAGGTTCCTATTCCGTAAGTCAGCTGCTGATTACAGGGCGTCCTTGGCAGTGTTACCCTTTCATCATCCTGCCCGTCTTCCCCTCCTCCACCCGAGGTACATTATATGCACTGCCCACCCTTCTGAGAAAGGGTGTTTCGTGTTCCCCAAACACGTGAAGTAAAATCTTAAACAAGAGTAGAAAGGCAGGAGCATGCTCCGAAAGAGAACAGTGTGTATCTGCAGAAATCTAGAGTGAAGAAAATAATTACACTTGGATCCTGAACTCAGCCTCATAGGTTGAGATCACAAACAAGAAGTGCTGCTCATGACTCCATTTGCCTGTGCACAGGGATGTGGGCAGTTCATAGGAGCCAAGAAACTTCCTGTATGTTAGTAAAATATGTTGATGATTTATATAAAATAGATTATGAATTAGATCCCCCCCAATAGGAGAAAATGCAGGTATTTTGTCTTGCTTCTTTTAGCAAGTTTTGATGTAATTGAAGTCAGTTGAAGTCCATGACTCTTGTTTTAGGTAGAGGAACTCTGATAGTCGGACATTGTGTCCGACTGTGTCCAGATATTACTTTTTTATTTTTATTTTTTTTCTTGACAAATAGCTTTTATTCATAATATATAAAGTATTCTTAAACTCATGAATAAGACAATAATAACACCATTAAGAAGGTACAGAGAGAAGGCAAATAAGTACATCAAAAGCCCATACATTACAAGACTGTTGTAGAAATTCTTCTCAAATGTGTTCAGATAATGCTTTCTGGAATGAAAGGAATGTGAATAATTTCACTATCTTGATTCTTCAAATAATAATTTTAAGAAAAACTGCATAAAGAACTTCAGAGTTCATGGAATTCTTGTTTCATGTTCTGTGCATAACACTTTACAAAAGGCATAATCTTTAATTCTAGAAAACACCAATATTTTTAGCTTTTTACAGAAAAAAGCAACACATGACAACTCTAAGAAACATGTCCAATGTCACCCAGCTAGCAGAAGAGTTTTAGATATTAGTATAGTCACAGGGTTTGCAAATAATGAATTGAATTTGAGCCATGGATTCTGGTTTCTGCTCAGTCTTAATTGTAATTTATACTTCAGCCTTCAGAAACATACAACCTCTCTTCTTGCCTCCATTTCTGTATTCTGAAAATGAAGATGATATTCTCCCAACCTTGGATGATGAGATATGCAACACCATCAGATGACACAGAACACATATTTGCATTGTTGGGATTTATCCAACAATTGTTGAATAGCTTCTATAAAAATCTATGTAACAATTGTCTTATAGTTTTTATAAAAATCTCAACAATAATTTTATTGGCTTAACACCTTGCTTAAAGGTGTTAAAATACCAACCAAATTTACCCTAATTTTAAAAATTGAAATGAAATCAACTCAATCCTCCTGTTCTTTTTTTTTTTTAAGTTGTTAAAATGATTTATATCCAGAATGTATCAGGAAGTTTCAAGCCACAACTATTTTATAATATTCAGTATTTTAACATACTCTTTACCTCGCTCAATTCCTTTTTTTATTTTTATTTTTATCTTTTTATTGTGAAAATACTGTACAGAGGGGTTACAATTCAGATATTACTTTTTTATATTTGTCTTAAAGCCACAGTAACACTTTTCAAAACCATTCCATAAAGCAGCTGACTCAGTGGGCCTCGCTGGCTCACCTCTGATGCCTGGGGCCACCTCCCACGTGCATGCCTGGTGCCCACTCCAGGTGTACACACACGATCCGTGGCCCAACGTAAGACGTTTGGGCCAAGCAGTGGTGTAAAATGCACTCACACAGCCAGTCTCTTTCCCTTTCAGTAGTCAGTCAGTTAAGGAGCTCTTCAATACTTCATTACAAACAGACTTTGCGTCAGGTAGTGTTCTGTGTGGAAGGAAGCTAGGCTAGGCTCACCGGCAACATTGGCAGGTGAGAGGCACCCAGTGGACAACCCACGTACAGCATTTTCAACTGGACGATGGATTTATTGGGATGTAGTTAGTCATAGCTAAGACGCATCTGTACATCAACATAGACAGATACAGGAGCCCATCTATAAAACTATAGATGTATTCTTATACCGAGACATATAGTCACATTCCTGTACAGAGATGTGAGTTCCTTCTTGTAGTGAAGAATCCCTTTTGTGGTCTGTTCAGTCTGGTTTACCTCCTGCCAGGTGGCCTCAGAGCAGAGACAGAACACCTGTTCTGGAGCCCCACCTGCAGCTGGGCCCACCCCTCTTCAAGACTGCCCTCTACGCCAGGCGGGGCGCCTGTGCTCGGGGAGGGGCTGCCCGCCTGCAGGCTTCACAGAGCCAGGTCTGGCCACTGCCTCCATCGCTTGATGATCCTGAGAGAAGAAGCGTAATCAAAATATTCCTCTTGCGAGTTGATTGATAACACGCTCCTCCTCCTGTTGAACCCAGGACTGTTCGTAGGGATGTTTACTTCTTGCCAGGGGCAGAGATGATAGCAGCTATAGCTGCCAGAAAGTTCTGCAGGAGACAAATGTCTGCTTAGTTCTCAGCCCAAACTCTTGAGTTCTTGTTTGCAATCAGTTCTTCAGGAGTTCTATGCACAGGCTTTTCCTTGCAATGACCCTCAGTGTTTGCAAACTCCACCTTCTTTTTCTGTAAGTCTGTACCCATTATTAGAGAACAGGACAGGAGCTGAGGGCTCTGTTTGTTATACAGCTGTTCATTAAGCAAAGCTCCTGTTGTTTTAAACACAGTTCTCCTACTGCCATTTTGAAGGAGACATGTTTGGCACAAGCACATGGATAGTTCTAGATTTCTAAGCCAGTGGTTCAGCTTAGCCCAGAATGGATTATAACCCTTAAAGGCCAGGTCTGGCATGACCTGTATTGCAGTCCTTTGTATTGATTTGATTTCTACCACCATGCTCGGTGACGGTGTGTGGAGGAGTCTCGAGGTTCTAGGTGTGGAATTCTGGAGTGGGTCTCTTCTGGGTGGCTGAGTTGGTCTGACATGGCTCTTTCCAATGAGAAGAAGAACCGCAGGGATGCTCACGGACAGACTTCAGACTTGCCTTGGTGAGAAACTTGGGAGTATGTGGCTGGGTTGCTAGTTTCCAGTCTTGAAATTCTACACCAGATCATTGGGGTCTGTAAAATTTCAGAAAGTGATAGACCCCAAAGATCTTGGGTAAACCCTGGCCATGCTGTGACACTCACACATCCTAGCAAAAAGAGCCACGAGGTCCTGTGGGCCATGGATGTCAGGGACAGTGGCCAGAGTAGGCGCACAGTCTCCTAAAACTGTGATCAGCGCTGGGGGTGCCGGCCTGTGCTGAGACTGGAGCATGACAGCATCTAGGCCCCACGCTGGGCTGTGCCATGCACGTCCAGGGACATCGGAAACTGGCCATCAGGTATCTTCTAGAAATCGGGAGGGCAGGGGGTGGGGGGGGGATCAGTTTAGATAATGGACGGAAAGCGTAACCAAAGCAGGAATGAAAGGCAGGCCGGCTGGCAGTCCCGGATACCAGGCCGGGAAAGGCGCCTTGCGAGCCCCCGCTGCGCGAGTCCCAGGCTGGGTAGGACAGGGAGCCCACCCCTGCTCCTCACTGACCAGCCTAACTGGCTCCTTTATCTGTGCTTGACATTTTGCACAGATGATCCTAAGCATTTAGATAAAACTACAATAATAATGAAAAGCAAGCGGGTTGCTTTGTGTGGCTGCCTGCTTTGTGGTCTACGTTTTTGTTTGTTTGAAAACCTGTCTACCTGCAAGACCTTTAAAAGCCCTAAGTGCTGAGCTTTCCTGGGGAGGGAGACAGATCTGAGTATCTCGTGGTTTTAAGCCAGGTTTCTGGATCACAGCTATGGCGGGCAGAGGGCAGCCTGTTCAGGGATCCTTAGATTCCCTTTCTGTGGACTTAAATATGAGCCTTAGGGAGCTCCATGATAGAAAAATGGAGGGGATAATGAGAAAGAACTCGGACCTCAGGGCTTCACAGTTCAGCGTAGCTGCCTATTCATCTTCCATGTCGGGAGAGGGCCTGGTGCACGGCTGAAATTCCTGCCCAGGGAGTTATAAGCGGTGGGATTCCTGAGTGGACCTGTAAGGACCAGCTTAGCGCCTCCCAGCCCAGCCCAAGACACTGTGGGGCCCAGCCTAAGATTACGTGCTCTGATCCCTCCTAGCCCCGCCTCCTCTCAGGACCCTGGTGATGGGAGCAACCCAGCCACCCCCTCGAGCCACACCAGGCAGACTTCAAAAGAGTCTTTCTTAGGTTCATTGCCTGTTCTTCGTGATGCCAGGTTTGGCCACAGCTTGGCTCCGTGCCTCATGCCCAACGTGAGGAACTGGAACGTCCCCCCTGAGGGACACAGCACTACAGGGCAGGTCATGTCTAATCAAGCGGCTTTGCCTCTGGCCGCATACAGCTCTGGCTTTGAATGTTCCGTGTCAGTACACTCAACCTCATACTCTCTAAATGATTGGGACGTAGATTTCATTAAATCCCCAGTTACAGATTAGCCCGAAAGTGTACTCCTCCACTGAGACAGAAGCACTTGATGTTCATGGCTGCTGTTGGGCCTCATCGATTAGCTTCGG